ATTGTGGTCATTTTGTTTTGTTTTGCTCTTTGCTGTTTGTGGTTTGTGGTTTGTCTTGGCAACCAAATGAAGTATTGCATTTCCTACATTCATATGACCTTTTGATTATTTAGGCTCCCAACCTTTTTTCGGCTCTGTTAGCACAGGACGTGGAACCTCTTGCAGGTATCCGTGTATTCTGGGTCCAGTTTCCGCTCCTGCATAGAACAGCCTTGTTTGCCCACTTTGATGACTGTTTAATCACCTAATAATGTGCTTTGGTAGACTTGTTGATTGGTCATTTGCTTGGCTCTAGATTGATTTTTCCGGGTTATTGACGTACGCGAAACCTGGGCCGTATTCAGAAGACTAACAAGACTGAAATAAGAAATCTTGATCGTCCTCCATGTTCTCATCCTGTTTGGGGTGTTTTCATCGTGTCTGTTTGAACAAAGAGAAGAACGGTTTTGTGTGCATGTTTGCCTGCGTCATTGGCCACTTCACTGCCTCGGCGTCTATCCTCTGCTTTTGGGCTACACTATATATTCTATTGTGTGTGTGTGTGTTTGTGTGTGTGTGTGTGTGTGTGTGTGGGTTAACTTTGTGGCACCGTGAGCCGTCGGCTTCCACCTCTTCTGTCGGCGGTGGGCTTATTCACTTATTCTCTACACTCCACAAACGCACGACAGCTCCCCTCAGCTCTTAGCCCTCGGGCCTCTACTGCTTTTGCCAACGAATGTATTTTCTCTCACGGCCAGTTCGGCTGAGCGTATCGATCGCTTTTCAGGCCACACTGTCCGTGCTTTAAACGTCTACCTTCTCGTCCTCGTGGAGGTGACTCATGCAGTTTGCTTAACCAGTTAATCTCGACGCTTTTCGACGCATGTCTCAAGTCATGCCATAGACACACACACACCGTTTGCGGACGCATGCACACGTACACAGGCAAAATCGCACATGCAATAGGCGTACATAGGCGAGGATTTGAAACTTGTAGAATACGACGACGGTACTCCTAACTTTCTGCTCAGTAGGTGGGACTTTCAGGCGGCTTTTGAGTTGATGTTGCCGATCCACTCGTCGAGGCTCTCGGCGATTGGGATCACAAACCGCTTCCGCTCCTGGCCCTGACGAGGTGCTGTCAAGATTGATGCCAACTGGACTGAGATGGTGTGCTCTTGCTGGCTGGCGTAAGGCAGATGGTGAGAGAGATCGCGTCGATGCGGCGTGAACAGCACATGATGGGAGTGATCGAGTGCAAACAGCGAACCGGGATCAACGCC